CCCCCCATCCTCACCGTGTAGTCAAAGGGGTTGTCCACGGTGCGCACTATAAGACTCTCGTACAGATCCTCTGTCCTCATTCTCACCGTTGGGCCGCTGGTAGACACCACCTCCTCACTGCCGGGGATACCAGGGGACAGTGTCATCACAGCAACGACAGCAACAACAACAACAACAACGACAACGACAACAACAACAACAACAACAGCAACAGCAACAACGACAACAACAACAACAACAACGACAACAACAACAGCAACAGCAACAACAACAACGATAACAACAACAACAACAACAACAACAACAACAACAGCAACAACGATAACAACAGCAATAATAACAATAATATATAAGTAGCGTTTCATCAGATCATGACAGTTGTGGACGGTCGATAGGCAAGAAGAAAATAAATGTGTTTCATCAGATCATGTATTTCATCGGATCATGTGTTTCATCGGATCATGTGTTTCATCGGATCATGTGTTTCATCGGATCATGTGTTTCATCGGATCATGTATTTCATCAGATCATGTATTTCATCAGATCATGTATTTCATCGGATCATGTGTTTCATCGGATCATGTGTTTCATCGGATCATGTGTTTCATCGGATCACATTGGAAATAAATGCGCTTTAACAAATCCAAAATGCTAATTTATTAAAAAACTAGTCACAGTTAGGCTTTCATACTAATATCTCAAGATGGCTTTCGACAGGTAGAATTCTTTAATGGAATAAATCATTTTCCAAAGTGAAAAAAAAATGCGTTTGATCAGATCCCGGCACACAGTTGCCCTACCCGATGTCCTTGAGGGTGAGTGTGGCGGCCAGCTGTGTCGTCTGCTGGGCTTGTCGTCTGGTGCGGCGCGGGACGGTGCAGGTGACTGAGATGACGGTGTCGCTACAGTCACTGGCCGTGCAAACGCTGCTCCAGTCTACGTTCAGTTGTTTCTGGAAAATAAAGACCATTAGAAAGAAATACTTACACTTACGTAAAAAGTTATTCCCGCATCCGATCCGGACATTGGGGATTGCCTTGTTAGTGAGACAACTTCCTGGGCCTTCGGCATATTGTGGTAGGGTGGCCAGTTCCTTTCCACGCCGCCTTTACTTCCCCAACTCGAAGTCAGGTACCCATTACTGCTGGGTGGGCAGGAGGGGGCGAGTCGAACCCGCACTCTCCGGAGATGAGTGCACTAACCGCTCTACCACCGTGCCCTCACCCTTACGAAGCAAAAGTAATT